CATCAGGTATGTAAATATTAATTTTTTTTATTAAAAAAAGAGCAACTTTTATCCAAAATCAGGCAAAGCAGGCAGGCAGATTGAGTTGCTCACAGAATCACAGATTCACTCAGAGATCTATCTTTCTGAAATCTGCTGCCTGAGTCTGCACTGAAAAATAGAAGCTTCGGTCCTAAGGAAGGTTCAGCTCTGCTTTTAGATTAGCTAGAAAGCAAGAAATTCACAATTTCCTGCTTTCTAGCTAATTTAAATCTCCTGGCAGAGCAGAACAGCTGATGGTCGGGGGGGAAAAAAAAGGAAAAATAGCAACTTAGAAGGCAAGTTTGATGGCACGCATGCCAGGTAAGGAGTGGGCGGGGTGGAATGGGGCCAGCCAGTGGTGCGATTTGCCAGTTCTCTGGCAGGTAGAATCCCACCCCTGGTGAGAGTGCATTTTGCGTGTGTGTGTGGGGGGGGGGTCCATTTCCTCAGCTGTGCCACACAGACAACTGACAAGCACTGCGCACAGGTGCACAGCATTTCAAACTCCTCTTCTTTCCTGCTTTTTCAACCTCAGCTGTGCCGCGCAAAGCAGCGGAGGTTGAAAAAGCAGGAAATAAAGGACAGGTAAGAGCCCAGGCGGGCGGGTGGGCCAAACAGAGCAGCAGACACCGAAGCGGTTCGTTGTCTGCTGCTCTTCTTCCTGACTCTGTGGTTTCTTTCCCAAACCCCAAAAACTTTAACCTTAGACTTTCTACTATTGACCTCACCCCTTTCCTAAGAGGTCTGTAGGGGGTGTGCATAAGGGCACCAACGTGCCTACTGTCCCTGTCCTATTGTTTATTTTAGTTTTCTTATATGTATCTTATATATATTTCTTATATGTATTTCATGTATTCATAACTATGTTTACACTTATACTTGTTATCTAATAATCGCTTGACTAAATAAACAGAGATAGATAGATAGATAGATAGATAGACAGACAGACAGACAGACATAGATAATAATGATGATGATAGATTGATAGTTAGATGATAGATAGATAGATAGATAGATAGATAGATAGATGTATTTCATGTATTCCTAACTATGTTTACACTTGTTATCTAATAATCGCTTGACTAAATAAACAGAGATAGATAGATAGATAGATAGATAGATAGATAGATAGACAGACAGACAGACAGACATAGATAATAATGATGATGATAGATTGATAGTTAGATGATAGATAGATAGATAGATAGATAGATAGATAGATAGATAATGATGATAGATAGATATAGATAGATAGATAGATAGATAGATAGATAGATAGATAGATAGATAATGATGATAGATAGATAGATAGAAAGATAGATAGATAGATGTATTTCATGTATTCCTAACTATGTTTACACTTGTTATCTAATAATCGCTTGACTAAATAGAGATAGATAGATAGATAGATAGATAGATAGATAATAATGATGATGATATTGATAGATAGATGATAGATAGATAGATAGACAGATAGATAATAATGATGATGATATTGATAGATAGATGATAGATAGATAGATAGATAGATAGATAATAATAATAATAATAATAATAATAATAATAATGATGATGATGATGATGATGATAGATTGATAGATAGATGATAGATAGATTGATAGATAGATGATAGATAGATAGATAGATAGATGATAGATAGATAGATAGATAGATAGATAGATAGATAGATAGATAATAATAATAATAATAATAATAATGATGATGATGATGATGATAGA